GGGGGAAAAAGGCAGTTTTTGCAGAGAAGAAACGAAACCAGCCTTTGCAGGGAAGAAGAATGAAAATAGTGGATCCCTTATCCTAGGATTCCAGCCACCACTGATTGAATGTGTTTTTGCAAACAATCATCACTTTATATAGACTATACTACAAAACCGGGTCAACCCATAATTCAATGGTCTTTGAAGGCCATTCCTTCATGGGTGGCATGAACATGTCGTTCTCATGCGATCGTCCGCCTACGTTGCGAGGGGGTCGTCCCCGAACACCCAGCCAGGATGCCAACAAATGAACGTCATCCAACACCACTACCGCCCAAAGGATTGTAATTACAGGGGGGGTTCAAAAAAAACACCCTGAAGCCTGAATCTGGGACCACGAGCTAGATGGTGCTTTCAGTGGCCCTTTTCAAACCGTTTGATGCTTCCAACCCTCCGCCCCGTTCCACGTCGCCACGTCCATCCACTCCGGTCTTCCGAAAAAAAAATAAAAGAAAAAAAAGAAAACACGCCGTCCTTGGCGAAGTCCGTGTCGCGCCGCGCCGCTTCCAAGGTCAACGGGTAGGGAGGGCCATACTCCTCGCGGGGCGCCAGCGGTACGGTCGATGTACTCCGATCCCACGAAGCAGCCAGTCCCGGCCAAGCCGCAACGGGGGGACCCGTACCGGGTCACGGTTTTGGGATGGAGGAGTAAGGTGCGGAGTCTGAAGGTCAGGTGTCTTTGGGATCCCTTTTGGATCCCTCGTCTTATTTTGGATGGGAAGTCTGTCACCCTCAGTGAGACAAGCGCCATCAACTCGACCAAAACGAATTGAAACAGGCCTGATCCATCATCGCTATCATCGCTTGCAAAGAACTTTGAAAACAACACCTCTTAAAAGTAAAACCAGTTGGCAGGACTCTCAGACTCTCGGCTCTCCGCACAAAGTGAATCAATTGTAGAGGCAAGTGATGTCATTCATCACTATACGATATAGCAACGCATTGCCATTCATCTTGGCCAAATCCAAGTTCAGTGCGCAAACTGCATCTCGGATATCCGGTCGCCGGAGAGGCACCTCTTGACCAGAAACAGCAGAAATGATGCCCAAAACCAGAGCAGCTCCTTGCTCAATTCACCAACCTGAAAACCCAGTCCCAACCAGAAACAAATGAATGTTTCCCCAGTCCTAGCCACTATGTAAAGTGGAACATATTGGAACAACTTTTTGTTTCTGATTGGGACTTCTTTGTTAATCACCTGAAAAGACTGTCGAAAGGGGAATATCCCATCTTAGGATCAAGCAGAGCTGGCAAGCAGTCGGCCAGCAACGCTTAAAACCTCAACGGCTTACCATGTTCAGCTTCACCTGAGTATCTCAAACTCCTCGTCCAACCACGACCTGATTCCATCTGAACCTCGCCTGACTCGCATCCTCCAGCCAGCAGCCGAAGTTCGGCGCATAGGTCCAGTACTGACAGCGGATGTCTGAATAGCACATGTGTTTGCAGAAGGCGATGGCATCTTCATTCTTCCTCAGCCAGCGCCAAAACCGAGCGTGCAGGAAATCTAAGATGTTGAAGTTCGATGAAGTTCCAGCAACGTAAGCCTCGTTTTAAAAAAGGAAGTGGTGCGATTACGGTGCTTCCGGACGGGTCGCGAACATCTTTGGGGACGTGCAGTTGGGATGGCACAAGTGTTTGGCTTGGCCGACTCGACAAGCTCTTTGGCACCTTTTTGGAGTGGGGAGCATCTAGACAGCTTGATTCACTTGCTGGCCATCAGGAGCACGCAAACTGCCATGGACATGTTTCTTGGCAAAGCCAACCATGGACATGCGCTACGAAGGAATGTCGAACGGATCGAAGTGGTGTACAGTCAAGACTCTGGAAGAAGCCCTCGCTGTTATCGAAGCCCTTCCACAAGCCTGGCCCCATCCGACGGATTGGCGCTTTCCGGAGCCTCCAGCCAAAACATCGTTTGACCCAACGATACAACTGGCAAGTGGGTTGAAACCGAAAACAATGGCAGTGGGCATCCAAGTGACTGGAAAGCAAGTTGTCCTGGTTCTTCCGACCGAACTCGATCCCCTGTTTGCTTCGGTCACGAACAAAGCGTTAGGCCTTCTCTAGAGGTCACTGTCACTAGGCGTTAGGACTCCAAAAAGACGACCAGGCTGTACCAAAGAAGCTGGCTGAATGGGTGTTCTCTCTCCTTGCCCAGGGTGCTGCTGTTCACCCGAAGTGGAGAGCCCAAGCCCTCCGGCACCCAAGAGCAGGGAGGCCCCAGATCCAAGAAGGGGCCCATCTGTCTAGTCTCTTCCGTTCACCTCCAAGATCAACCCAATACCGACCGGGCCTATGATCTGATAGCCTGTGAGGTCCTTCAAGACTCTCACGGAGCCATGCTGCAAACGTTCCGCTTCGCGGGGCACGAAATTCCCTCGCACGAAGCAGTCCTGGGGGTGTCGATCAAGCATAGTCCAGGTGAATGACGACCCGTCTGACGGGCCCAAGCATAGGGCATATTTCAGCTTTCGCATGCATAGTCCATCCATGTGTGATGTCTTCATCTACCCCTTTGGGGCATGAATGTTTTTTGTTGTTTCCCACTTGAGGAATCCCAGTTGAGACCCATTCTAAAGAGATCGTTGGGGACAAACACATTCTTGGTTCGGGGCCTGAAGAAGGGTAACCAAGAACGGGGAACATTCCAAAAGCGGGGTTTCGCTTCTTGAAGGCTCTTTTCAGGGTAGGTAGGCAGAAAACTTCCAGGAGCATCCTGTTTGGAGGTCCAGTCTAGTAGTGTAGGAATGTGTAGGGTAGTCTATTTGGTAAAGCATTGGATGATCTAGGCTCATAAAATGTACAAGGCAATTTGCGGATGAAAGTGGCCAAGCACTGAGGAAGAAACCTTCACCCCAAGTGGGCAGCACCGGCATGTTTGTTGAGATCTTTTGAGGGCACCCGTGTCGTGTCCGGGATGTAAGGGCTCGATGCCAAGCAAATTCCCGCTTTTCCAGAACTGTCGTTTCGACTCATGTTACCCCACCTGGAAGTCACAATGCACTGCCATAGGGGGTAAAATGAGTCATGACTAGACTCTCAGGCTTCTACGTTGACACAACATCTGTACTGAGACCCACCCTCCAATGGGTGTCCAATGTAGCCAATTGGACACTCAAAATGAGTCATGGTCGTGGACCACTTACAACATCTTAAAGCATCTTAAAACTAAACACCGATGTTGGGGTCGGGTTGTGTTCTACATGTGTTCCAACCAGACAGGTCGCCGGATCACGGATCACCGGCGTTTGGAAGTGACGATCCGTCCTTTCCCAGCCCTTGCCAGCAGCTGTAGTACACCTTGGAGGACGCCGATTTCGGACGCCAGATGAAGCCTCTTAAAACCAAAAAAACACACACCAAAACCAAGACACCGTGTTCTGCCAGGACTGACAGGACGGGTTCTCCCGACAGTTCTGGCCTGGGGCACGGCGAGGGAAGCGAGCGATTGGAACGGAAAGAGATGTGATTAATTGGAACGGGAGTCTTGAACTACTAAGAACTTACTAATTACTTCAACCCCCTAAGACCTTAATAGACTTCGAACACCTGAGAACTTACTTCTTCCAGAATTCATCTGCTTCCCGACCTACAGAATCTGGACTTCCCCGATCATGGCCGCGGAGGGGGAAACATGTCCACCTTGGCGGCGCGAAACGTCGCGCAGTGAAACGTCGCTGTGCTCCCACGCCACAGGCGGTACCATTGATGCCGTGCATTTCCTCGGCAGGCCGACCACTCTGGCCGTGCAGATCGGACGCGGAGGCCACGTCACGTCACCGGAGACCACGGATTGCGTCTGAGGCTCCACCAAACCCCGGCACTTTCCAGGCCAGCCATTTTTGGTGCTGTCTAACACTCCCACCTGGCCACGACGTCAGGGATGTCAGGGCTGGAGGTGGACGTGGTGCTCTGGAGGATTCTGATGCTTTATGCTGGGTACTTTGGAATCAAATCGTTTGGTGTCTTCAGCGTGAAATGATTGTATATTGGACAACACAGACCCACTCTTCGTCGCAAGGGTGCAGTAGGGTGCAAAGATCCTGTCTCAAGTATCTTGAAGAATGGTTCAACAAATCATCTATCATATACAGTATACCCGGAGGACTGCCCTGCAGCTTGATCTTCACCATCTTCCTTGGCTCATGAAATCATCTGCAGCTGATGTTGTTCTGCGAATTCCTCATCGGATTCCCACTTCCGTGAACTACAGAGTAACTACAGGCAACCACAACTCTCCTTTCACACCATGAATTGAAGCAAACACATGGAGCAGCAGACCAGCATCAGCCCAGCATCCCACCCCCCAAAAATCCCTCCCTCTCTCTCCCCCTTCACTGGACACCTCCACCCAGACCTCGCTTTCCTCACCTCGGTGCAGGCCAATGGGGCGCCATCCCAACGCTTTGGCCAGCACTCCAAGCTGTAGGGCTGCTTCCCACCTGTCTCAGCGGCGGGGGGGTAAGCGTCGCACATCTGACCTCACCAGCCGTGCTCCCAACGAAGTTCCAAGAGCTTCGGCCCTACGGGCCTGCGATCGAAAAACGCATCTTCAGCGCAAAAAAGCACCGATATCCCCCTAGTTATGACCCTCACTCCGAACTGCAATCGACCAACTTCCATGCAGGACGGCCAAATGAAAAGAAAAACGCCTCTCCAGCTCTTCCCCCCCCATGGCCCCCGCAGTGCCCGCGCACACCGCGCATAAGGCCTGGCCAAGCCAGCTGAGAGCTCTGAGGGCTGGTGCCCGGGAAGCCGTTCCCCGGCGTCTCGGTGCGACACCTTCCGAGCGAGAGCTCGACACCGAGCGCCGATCTCGAGCGAATCGACACACACAGGAGACGTACATCAGTAAATCGACTAGAAAAGAAGCAGATATCGGGCTTCTTCAGAGATGGTGTTTCTTCATGTTTCTTCTAAAAACAATATAAACATATTATAAACCATTTCTTCGGATCTTCCTCTTGTGAAATGTTTGAGAAATCCTTCGGAGTCGACTCGGTCTCCTTTTGGTTGAGAAACGGAGGGACATCCCCATGCCAAACAAGTACCGGGTGTGCAATGGTGTGTGGAGTACCCCATCCTAACCTGCAAGTACCACAAATGGTTGAAATCTTTATAGTACAACAATGGTTGTTCGGTTAACGACCGTTCAATCAATAGTGGTCGGATGTGGTTGGAATATGTTGGAATCCTAGAGTACAGGAAAGAGTAGTGAGAAACACACCAAGTGGCAACGAAAGCACAGTGTTGGAAGGTCCAACCAGGAGGGGGCCCATGAATTTCTTGGGGAAACACCAGACTCGCTGCAAAAAATGCGAAATCACAAACTGTAACGGCAAACAACCACACAGAAAGAGAGGACGTCAAGATGATCAAGCTGGAGTAGCAACAAATACAAGCTTGAGATAGGTTGAGAAGATCGAAAAGAAGCTGGACCAACATCAATACCTTGGATCCATGGTCCACGTGATATCCGTTTCGCTCGTAGCATCTCGCTGGCAGCCTCTTTTCGACCCCAAAAATGGCCTCGAACCTGAAAGGGTCACGCTTTCCGTTCGGGTCGCGCACCCCGACGTAACGGAGGGTCCAACGGTTCTGAAAGTAGTTCTTGCAGGGTCCAAGTTACTTAGCCGGAAGGTGAACCAGAGATGCATGATCACGGCCGGTTCTTAGCTGACTTTACCACATACTACCACATCATGATCCATGGTGCTCTTAGGTGTGTTCAACCAACCATGTAAGCACACCACCTGTTAGCGGCCTAAAACCAGACACATCTGGGTTTGTATCAAAATAGAGAAACCTCAGACCCCCTGGAAGAAAGGTTTTGGTCAATTTTGAGAGCCCTCCTAATTATAAACCAAACACATCTGCTCTCTCTCCCTCTCTCTCTGCGTACTCCGCCTGGGGGGTGGCTGCATGCTTTCGGGCTCGCAGCTCCGGTAGCCTGGTGTGTGTTCGCTCATCGGGCCGGGCAGCTCCGATGGGTCCACCGAAGAGGTCCCAGTCGCTCCAGTTTTGGTTGGGATCCAAGGTGGCTGGCAGCTTAGATCCTTTACCTTCAGTGGCTGGTGCCTTGTTGGAAACACTGTTTCTGGCTGGAAATGGGTTTCAGATGGTTTCAGGCAGGTTCTGAATGACCTCTCTGGGAGGGGGTGCTTCATGGGGCGGTTGGGGCGGTTGCTCCCGCCGAGGTTGTTGAAGTGGGAGGTGATTGCTTGACATGGAAACACGAAAGGTAGAGTCTGCAGAAATCTATGAAAACGGCAGAATCTAAACGCAACAGGGCTGTGTAACCGCTATGGTGTGTAAGTAAGAAGAACTGCCTGGTGCGCCAAAACTGTTCCGTGCAATTGCGGTCGTATGTTCACATGCTCCGCGTAAGGTCGTGGCGGTCGCAAGGAGAGGTTGCGACAGCTCCCGTCTGTAAGAGCAGTGGTCCCGCTGCACGTTTTTTCTTCCGCAGATGTGCATGGTGTAAAAGCCGTGTTGTGCTAAACCCATTGTAGGGGCTGCTGCCAGTGAATGAATAGACGTCATGCTATGGTGGGCGATGCTAGCGGTGCTGGCGAGGGGAGGAGGGGTCACCAAATGATTGGTTAATGATTAATCAATCAATGATTCATCACTATGGAAAGGGGGGAATCAATAGAATTCATACAATATCACTAATACTAATATATACTAATATCACTGTTTGGTCCCGGGCAGGCTGTTCAAGCTACCCCTTTGCTTCGCAAAGCAAACTCAAGGTACGAGTAGCCCTTAACAGGCTACCTTTCGTGACATGGTGTTGGAGAGGAGGTTAACAAGGTCAGACTAGAAAACATGTTGAGTCTCCCACATGTGTGCACACATAATCTTCTCGCACAATGTCCCAGTTTCTTCCCCCCAAAGCTCCGCCGAAGCCGACTCCAGCACCTGCAATCAAATAGGGCGATTCCGATGGAATCTCCACGGCATTTTCATCCTCGTGCAACGGCATTTCTGCGGGCAGTCTGGGTGGAAAAAAATTGTGTGAGAGGTTCAGGTTCGGGCGCTCTAGTTGGTCAATGCAGTAACTACCTCATGGGAATTTCCAAACTGATATAGCTCTTGCGAGCATGGATCTAAGTGTGTGTGTGTGTGTCACCCCCTGTGCCAAAGGGTTCACTGCCATCGTTACC